CCTTCATACTAGCAACTTGACAGATTGATTAATTAAGAAAGAGGAAGAATTTATTATTTGGAATAATAAATTGATATAAATGATTTATTAATGTATTACGAAAATAATATATTAATTAGAAATCATATTATTTAATTAATAGTTAATCAAAAATTAATTTGGAATTAACTTTGGGGTTAATTGTATTAATTAAAAGTGTAGGGGCTATTTGGTATTTTATTGATAGTTGAGGAAGAAGCCCTAGAACCCTCCTAAGAGGCTTGGACGAAAATATTCTAGAGAGGCTCTAGAATTTTCGGCCATGGGCTTCCTTATGGAAGGTTTAAGGCTTCCTTGGTCCTTAAGCAAAGCAATTAGGATTTCCTTATATTAACCCTAGCTTTGGCTCTAAGCTACCTCGGCTATATAAGGAACCCCAACCCCTTGAGATTTCGGCCATATGCTTTAAACCCTAAGAAGAGCGTAAAATCATAAGCTTCCTCCTCTCTCTCATAATCATCCTCTTGTCTAGTGTGTTTGTGAGTCATTAGAGGTGATACACTTGTGACACTTGTTCTCAAAGTTCAAGATCTTCAAGGAATCCATTGTTATTACAATATAACAATAAAGGTATGTGTTCTAATCCTTGGTTTATAAATTTCAAAAATTGTAGATGCATGCTAGGGTTTCTTGTTTTTGTGTTCAATGCTTGTATGTCTAATATAGGAAACATAGATCCAAATAAATTAGGTTTGCATGCATACATAAGAATTGTTTGTATGCTCAAAACCCATCATATACAACAGGTCCACTCAGTCATCGGACCGAAATACCAATATACAGCGGGCCCACTCAGTCATCGAACTGGAATACCCTCGGGTCCACTCAGTCATCGGACTGGAATACCCCTGGTCTGTTGACTCATGCACATAGCAGTAAAGTATCAACCCAACACAATATGTCGGCATATAACAGATAACAAACATAATCAACAGACACATAATCATGCAGCCAGAAATCACAGATAGTCCTACAGATCTACCGGCCTACGCATATCAACAGTTATCATATAATTATACAGATCTATTCCATACTCAGAATATCATAACTCAATGTATAACAGGATATCAATCCAATGGGCCGGCCTTGGTGCCTTCGACCCGTAAGTACAGTGAGGAAAACTCACCTCACAATCTAACGAATAGTTGATCAATACTCTATTTCCAAATACCGGCTCAACCCAAATCCAAAATGTCAAATCATTGTCCATTAATAAAACTTTCCCCAAAATACCCTTAGTTAAACCTAGTCAACGGTCATAAGTCAAGTCAACACCTAGTCGATTCAACCTAGTCGATCCAACCCGACCGAGTCGACTCATCCGAGTATGCTAGGCGTACTCTTTTATACGCAGGGCGTACTCAGTGTTTGACTAATTTACGGGGCGTTGACCGCGTACCACTTGGTACGCCCAGCGTACGCGCCCTGTTTAGCCCTTTCCCCATTAAGAGCTTAATACTCCAAATCTTCACGTCCAAAGTCATATCCAAAGCCAAAATACCCTCAAGAGTCATAAATTTTCCAATTTTATGACTTTGCATGTCCATTAAGTGCTTAAAACATAAAATCTCAACATCTTAAAGCATTAAGACCTTTTATAGCATGCATGGAGCAAAACTAACCATCAAGACCACATTTTTATGACTTAAGACCCCTCCTAAGGTCTGAAAGGATGAGTTATTGGGTCAAGAAAATTGCATGCTCCAAAATCACCACATTTGGGACAAAAAGTGTCTTTAAGGAAGAAATGTCTAGATCTACAAGATGGAGTGATCAAGTTGTGAACTTTATACCTCCTGGAGGTTGCTAACAAGAAGGAAATCTCATATCCAAGATGCTTCCAAGCTCCAAGCTCTTATCACAATCTTCTTCTTCTTCAAGAACACCTCCAAAACACTCCAATGGGCTCAAAATGCACTCTTCTCACTTAGAGTTTGCTTGGGGTCGTTTTTCATTTAGGAGGTTGATGAAGAAATGCGACATGAGGCTATAATGGGGTTTAAATATGGACCAAACCCTAAAAATTAGGGTTTGCACTTCCTTACGTACGCCCCGCATACGAGGTGTACACCCAACGTTCTAAGGCGCACCCTAGTACGCCTAGCATACACAATGTACGCTTGGTGTATGAATCCTGGTCAAATTTACTATATTGTCACTATGGGCCAATCTAGCAACCTTCCTCAAACCCAAGGGTCAAAATGCAATATTTTTCAAACATAGGGTTGAAATTGAAATTACCTTTACATCGGGATGTTACTGATTAAGTCACTAGGCATAATGAATTTCATTGTATAAAGTTTATAAAATCCAAGTATGCTTGGTATGCATGTAAAAGTGTAATGTACTCGCTTTTATAGAGATGTATGTTTCAAAGTAATGAACATAAGTACATGTATAAACTTTTTGCATTTAAACATATAAATATACATGAATGGTAATAGCTTGAATCTTTGAAATACTACAAAGTTTTATAACGTGCTTGTTATAATATACAATGTCACATAAAAATCATATATTTTTGTAACATGTAGTATTTGTTGTGTGGACTAGTTATTTCACGATAAAATAATCATAATACGTATACGAAGAGTTTATACTAGTTTATTTGTAACAATATGTTACATTGCTAAATAACATTTTCATAAACTAGACTGGTTGTATTTTCGCATAAAAGGGTAGTTTATTTGTATAAACGAAGTATATATGTAGATGTATCCCCCCCTCCTCCCCCGAAATAATTAGAAATATTAAAAAAGGACTGTAAGCACTCACCTTTGAAGCGTGAGTTCCTTTTGTTCGAATTTCGTTTCTTTTGAGAAACTTGTCGTGAGAAACCGCAAATCCACAATTCTTGAACTTTGAAATACTCTTGGGACCGTTTTGTAACGAATTTATTGTATAGGGGTTGTTTTGTAACTTCACTAAACTATAGAGGTTGTTTGGTAATTTAATTTAATGAATAGGATTGTTTTGGTAAAAGTAAGTCAAGTGAGGGGCTGAAATGGTTTAAATGGAACTTAACTTTGGGAGTTGGATTGATTTTGTTAAGAATCTCCATGGGAGGGGCTATTTTGAATAAATGGGTTCAAGGTTTGGGGTTGGGACTGATTTTGTAATGCATTGTCAAATGAGGGTAAATTTTGAGTAATTTAACTTCAAGTTTGATTTCCTTTGATTTTGACTTGGTAAAAAAACGTGTTATCAGTTGAAGACTCGGAGAAATCGACAGTCGATCTCGCATCGGGAGGGAGGATCACCTCCTGTGCTTCTCTTGATTCGAAATGGCGAGGCGGTAGTCGGAATCCATCGGCAGCAGCAGGCAAGTGACGGCAGCAAGCGACACTGGATGGCTCCGCTACCCCCTTTTTTGCATTCGTCTGTCAATCGGTGAGGGAAAGGGGAAGGGCGGCTGGGCAGTGGTGAACTGGAGAAATCACCCTCGGTGCCCTATTGTCTCGAAGAAAGAAGAAAGAGGAGGCAGATGGGGAATATTATCAACCGAAGATGAAGGCGTCCAGCTGTTGGGGTTCATTAGGGAGAAATCAAGACGGGAAAGAGAGGGGCAGCCGCCCTACGCCGGCGACCCCTTGGTGGTTCCATTCTCGTTGCTGGAAGGCAGAAAACCGGAAGCGAAACAGGTAGCAATGGTTGTGGTGGTCGAAGGAGGAGGTGGGTTAACATGGTGGTGGCAGGCAGCGTTACGACTGCCTGTTGGGTGTCGTTCCGACATCGACGAGGACGGAGGCGAACGGAGATGGGTACGGTGGAGGGAGGAAGCAACAGCGGTACCTGTCAAGAGGTGTATGTGGGTCTCTTGTCGACTGGAAAAGGGGAAGGAAAAGGCTGGTATGGTGGTGAGTGGGAGTTGGCAGTCCTCCTCCTGTCCTTCATTTTTCCGGTGACCCAAATGAGTACAGATGAGAGAGATCGTGTGTGGGAGATGGAAAATATCATTGCCAGCTGCAACTATCATCTCTAATAGATTTTGGAAAAAAATTTGGTTTGATCTTTAGGGGTGTTTGTTCTTTTTGGAAAAGATAAAAAATGCAAAAGATGTTTGGTAAAAGGTTTTTTTTTTTTTTTGAAAGAGAACTTCCCAAACGAGGGTTTCCGGGTTAGCTTTCGCGCACCGACTAATCCCCGGCTGCAAACATGAGACTTTGCCTCATGCCCTGGAGTCACTGCAGGCGAACCTCCATGGCCACAAGGGCTGAGTAGTGCCAGGATTTGAACATGGGTCAATAGGTTATCCACCATATCTTCCACATGTCTTACCAAGTCACCACAACCCAAGTGGTTTGGTAAAAGCATTTTAAAAGCAACTTTTGGATTTTTGATATAAGCAAAACTGACTTTTTTGAAAAGTCAAGAAATCCTGACTTTTTGTAACTTTTGCCAAAAGGACTTTTGGCTCCCAAAAAGATAAGTCAAACACCCCCTTAGTGGGCGGTGTTCAAAAAAGCTTATTAACTTTTTAGTTTTTCAAAAAATTAATAAAAGTGTTTGTGTATTTAAAAAGCGTTTTTTAAAATGGCTTTTTGAATAGGAAAAAGTAAAGCTTTTAAAAAGCTGTAAAATCTTAGCTTTTAGCTTTTTAGCCATTTTACTCCAAAAAAACCAGTTTTTCTTAGGGAAAATGTCACTGTAGCACATGAAACTTTCTTCATTTGGCTAATTTGGTTCTTAAAGTTTTTTTTGGTACATTAGACCAGTAAACTCGTAATTGACCTATTAATTACACCATTATCTAAAAAATTAGAAGGTTCACCGGTTACAATGCTTATGTAGCACGCTGATGTGTCCAATAAGCTTACGTGGGATGCTTATGTGTCGAAGAAGTCCATTTGTTGATATAGGCCTATTAATTGAAACCCTCATTCGGACCTCCATTAAAGTGTTAGTTACCCTTCTCTGAAAAGTCAAAGACTTCACCCCGACTATTTTCGTCCTGAAGAACAATGTCTTCGAGCTCATCCACCTCAAGGAATCAGCTACAAGTGACTCATGTTCAGTCGCGACAAGGGGTAAAGCTTTGTGAGTGTGGCGTTCCAGCTAAAGAACGAACATGTTGGAAGATAACAAACCCTAGGAGGCGTTTATGGAATTGTCAAAACAGTATGGTAGGTCCTGATACTCCTGATCTTGATAACTTACTATTTTAGGGTTTGATGTGTTGTTTCTTCCTGTAAAGACGATCATGGTGGATTTGTATTTTGTTTGCTTTAAAAAAACCCTAATTTTATTTGGTTCTTGATGATGATTTGTGATTGTGAATCAAACCCATTTCGTTAGTACATTAAAGGTAGCTAATTTGTGATTGTGAATCAAACCCTAATTTTATTGGCTTTTTATAGACTAGGTTGAAGAAATGTAGCTTCTTTGAATGGAAAGATGAAGAACAGACAGAAGGGTACTACAAAAACCTGCTATATTCTCTGAAGCAGAAAGTGGATGCTAAAAAGGATCTGTCTGAGATGAACAATTTGAGGAGAAGGATTGTTGAAGTGGAGTTTCTGCTGTCACAGGAGCAGTAGAAGGTGGCAAAGAGTGAGAAAGAAGTTTATGATGCAAGGAAGGCAATAGGCAGGTACAGGATGATAGGTGCCTTGTTGTTTGCTTGCTTTGTCATTTGTGTTTTGAAGTTAGGAGATGATTGTACTTAGTTAGGTTGGTTAGTGTAAGCTTTTGTTTTTTGGGATCCCTTGTATTTTTTTGTAAAGGCAGACTAGAAAGTCAGTAATGATGGGCATTTTGTATGTATTGAAGTTGCTTTTAGTTACAAGTTGGGGCTATCAACCTTGATGTGTTGATGTTGTAAGGTGTTAAGTCCCTAATGAAAGGGCATATGATAACTAATGTAAAAAAATATTCAAAGTCCCAATTATAGGGCATTTTGTATAATCATATGTTGATGTTAATGAAACATATGCATGGCTTGTATTCCCAACAAATATATTTAATTAGATTGGTTGTTGTGCATGTTTTCATTTTGGGAACAAAAGAGAAAGTGGTCCGTGTGGAAGTACACTATGTGTATGGGGACCATTTTGTAGTTATATGTCAGTGGGTGTTTTAATAATGGAAAAATGGGACCTTTAAACCCATTATAGAACCATATCCGCGACCATATAAAACATTCACATGCATGCACATCATTCCAAAATTTTCCATGCAGAAATATTCAAAGCCAAATGTCTTGATTTTACTTAAAAAGGCAACATACTTTATAAATGAGTAAAATATCATGTAAACAGTTTCAGTAAAAAGGCAACATATATCCATTACTGACCAAAATACCATTTTCTCTCATGACCAAAATACCCTTTTATGTCAAGAGTGACCAAAATATCCATTACTGACCAAAATACCCTTTATTGTCATTCATACATAAATGACCAAAATACCCTTTTATGTGAAGAGTGAACTTAAAAAGGCACCATCCATACATAAATGACGAAAATACCCTTTTGTGTCATGAGTGAAATTGAAAGGCACCATCCATACAAAATTCAAATTACCAATATCCTTATACATAAACTATAAATCCAAATTACCATCATCCTAATACATAAACTTTAAATCCAAATTACAATCAACATTAATCAATTACAAGAGCTTTTCCCTTAGAATTTCCTGGATCATCAACACCACCAATTGTTTTGCCTAATTTCAGCTTCAATATTCTCTCTGACTTTCTTTTCCTTATCCTCTTCAAAATCTCTGAAATTGGCCTAACCCTTACCTCCTGAACCTGGATAACAGGAACAAACTCCTGAATTTGAACATTATCAACTTGGGCATTAGGATTAACCTCATCATCTTGAACAGCTTCCTCAGCCTCCTCAGCCTCCTCACCCACAACAGCTTCCTCACCCACAACACCCTCATCACCTTCATAACTTCTAGGTGGAGTAAATTGCATAAAGTGACTAAAATCCCCTGCACTACTGGATTCAACATCAGTATGAGTAACTTGCATATCATTTTGAGTAGTATCCATCTCAATTGGAGTCATTTCAACCTCTTCATGTTGTTGTGGTTCACTTGTACTACCCTATATGGCATGATATAATTATGTTAGTGACAAATCATATGTAAATAAATTTAAATTTAAAATGGTTTTACCTGTCCTGCATTTTGCTTCACACAAACTTTTTGTTTCTTCAGTTTCTATACATTTAACTTTTGGGGCCTTCTCTGTGGACAAGTGGCCTTGTTGTGACCTATCTCCTTGCAAATACTACATCTGATTTTCTTTCCAGCCTTAGAAACCCTGTGTGTTCCTGTATTCTCTGTAGTGGATTTCTTCCTCTTAATAGCTGGCCTACCAGGCATCCTTATACTAATAAGAGGCAATGGTGGAGTATAATTTGTCTCTGGCCACACGTCACTGTTATTCATGGGGGCAATTCTGTAATTGTATGCCTTCCTAAATGTGGTTGTGCTAAACATGTTGTCTACATAGGCTTCTACATCCCTATTAAGAAAGGATATGCATGCTACAGAATGAGCACATCCATATCCATTCAATTGCCACAACCTACATGAACATGTTTTCCTTTCTAAGTCCATCTCATATGCATCTTTTTCTCCCCTTACCTCAAACTGGTTTAATCCACTTGGTAGTACCTGATAATTCCTTTGAACTTTTTTAAGCAAATTCACCTTATCCCTTATCTCTGGACAAATATGATTTCCCCATTGTTGTCCCTTTAATTTCATGTTGTAGATTCTGTCCATAATGTATAATCTTAACTCCTCTAACATGGTTATTATGGGCTTCTTCCTGGCATCTACTATTACAGCATTAAAACTTTCCGAGAACCCATTTTCAACTGCATCACAACACCTTCCAGCTTGAAAGAAAGCTCTTGACCATGTTTTAGGATCTTTCTCCATGAGATATTGATGGGCATCTGGGTTCAATGTCTCAATTTCCTTCATCACAACTTTAAAAGCATGCTCAGTTGTGGCTTTAGATGCTCTCCAAAACAAGGTATGATATATGGCACCAGTGAATCTCTTCTGCAAATTCTGGAAAATATGTCTAGCACACTGCCTGTGCTCTACATATGGAAGCAACTCTTTAACAGCCTCTATCAAACCCTGTATTAATACAAAGGTTTAAATCAGATAGTATAAAATAAATATAAATGAATTACTATGTAAAATACTAACCTTATGTTGATCTGACATTAAACTGAAACCATTGCCTAACTTCAAGTGTAGATCATCAATGAGAAGCTCTAAAAACCACTTCCAATTCTGCTTGTTCTCCACATTAACCACTGCCCAAGCAATATGTGACATCCCCTAATTTCTCGGCCAGAAAAGACCGATTTAATTTATGCTTTTTAAAATAAAGTCAGAGAAATCCTTTTAAAAGATGTTGCGGAATTGGTCCCCAAAACAAAACATGATAAAAATTTATCAAAACCTTTCTTTAAGAAAGTGTATATTTTCCTTTTATATCAAAACCTCGGGATGACATGTTCCGATACAGATTAAAAGCATAAACAAGACATTATAAGCCTTTCAACAGTTATTTACAACTACTGGCCTATAATCCAAAAATCTCTCATCATCCTCCGACTATGCTCGGGGTTCACTACCTGCAACATAAAAAGCTGAGTGGGTCACGCTTGGGAGCCTGGTGAGCATATAGGGTTTTCAACCCACAATAATAATAAACTTATTAAGTTCATCCATGAACAATAACCCTGATTACCCATTCCCGTTATCCTCACTTTACGTCCCTAAACACCTATAACAAGGGACCTAGCCTAAGAAATATCATCGGGATTGACACTACTGCTAAGGGGACTCCTCAGCCATACATGTCCTAAAGGCAACCATGAGGGGATGGAGTACAGCAAATGAACACCCAAGCTCATTAACACCTACAGGTTGCGAGCCTGCCAGCGTTCCACTGGACTGTCTAGAAAAGTCTGTGGTCGCCATCCATACTCCGCTAGATGACTGGATCACAATCACATCGAGGCCTCTCATCATTTTAACACACATCGGCTATTTCGTCTACCCATGTTTTACCCAACATATTTGTAGATAAAATACATATACAGTTTAAAACTTGTATAAAACATCTATTCAACAGTCACCTCAATTAAACAATTAATATAATTACACATAGCACGTATTTTATAGAAAATACTTCATATCTAGGTGTAAGATGAAGGTGACTACACACTCACCTGATTTAATGATAATCGGGCAGCACTTCGTTTCCTAAAACGATCGTTTCTAATAAAACCGGGAGTTTTATTGAGAAACCGGGCTCTGCGAGGGCCGGGCTTCAAAACCGAAAAAATAAATTTCTCGGGCTTCTCGGGCACTTTGGTACGTGTTTCGGGTGTTTGGTATGATACCGGGGCTTTGGGGGAAGTTGGAATGAAAGAAATACTGAAAGAGGGGTGTAAAATGGCAAATTTCCAAAATATACCCGGGAGGTCTCGCACCCTTCTATTTATAGGGGTCAGGCTTCTGATCCAAGGGTTGAAAAGACTCCACGCGTCAGCAGATCCGAAGCGAGGGTGATGGCTTCGCACGTGCGAGGGGTGAGCTGTTGGCCTCTGATTGGACCGAGGTCTAGGTCCGAGGGGGGAGTCGTGGCACACCATGCGAAGCTCGGACACACTTCTGATGACACACCGAGATCGGACACGGGGCAACTTCCGATTGGACCGAACCTCGGACTCGAGAAGAACGCGAAACGCCTCGCCAGGTGGCCTCGGTGACTCAGCAGTTTCGGACACGTGGCGCGCATGCAGCGAAGGTGACGTGGCCGAAGTCCCCCCATGCGAAATTTCTCGGATTTGGCATTTTTTTCTCGATTTTTGTGCAAAAACTTCTAAAATCCATAACTTTTGCATACGGGCTCCGTTTTTGACGTTCTTTATATGCACGCGTAGGTAAAATTACGCTTTACAACTTTCGTTTAGACTTCGTCGGCTAATTTTGACTTTAATTTTTATATTTCTATTTTTAACAGACCGGGACAGGAAATCTGTTAAAAATTCATAACTTATTCATCCGAAGTCCGTTTTCGTCTGTCTTTTTACCGTTGTACTACTATTGACGAGACCTTCGATTCTCGTTTAGGTTGTGTCGGCTAAAAATCACTCGATCTAAAATTCGAGTTTTTAGCTGTCTATTACTAAGCTGAAACTTAGAAAAATCATAACTTCCTCATACGAAGTTAGATTTGGACGTTCTTTTTATACATACTCTCGGTTTAACGAACACTACGACTTTCGTTTAGATCACTAAGGCTAAAAAGTAGTTTATTAAAAACTCACTTTTTACGACATTCGGCACCGTGCCGGTTTTCTTCGCGAAACTTCGACAGTTCATAACTTCTTCGTTATAACTCGGATTTCGGTATTCTTTATATATCCGTAATCCTTGTCACGACCACTAAAACTTTATTAATAGATATCGTCTTTATCTAATATTTATTTTCGACGCTCATTTTTATTCTTAATTAATTAAACCCTAATAATTAAGCATAAAACAC